CCACTAGGCGCGCATAGGATGCAAGAACACAACGGAGAAGATTTTGAGGTAGGAGTCATTATCCGTACGCAGGAATCGAAAACATCAGCGCGTAAAACTCTTGAAGCGTTTTGGATCAATGCCAAAAATTCAAAAATGAACCGCAAGGAGGAGTGTCTTGTCATCACGCGTGACCTAGCGCCATACCTCAGGCTGATCCAATGATCTGACATGGACCCAGTTATCGACCATGTATTACTCTGTGCGGCGGCTATCCACCAACTAACTTAAATACTTACAACAAATAAACGGTAGGTGTTTGAATGAAGCTGTTTCTTATGCGAATACAAATCGATTTATCAAGTTTTATCTGCTAGGGTTATGAAAGTGTTTGGCTGAGTAGATCGCATCTCAATTTGACCTTTCCAGGCTCTGAAGAAGGCGAAACCGCCGAAACGTCAGCAATTGTGTTCTAATAAATTCTATATTAACAACCTCGTGTCTGCTTATTGATGAAAAACATTGAATTATCAATTAATGCCGAGGTTAACAGAAAGTCGGTCATGGGAATTACTACCATAATTGTCGTTCCACAACTAGTTTCGTCTCTTAGAACATATACCAGTCGTTAGTTTTCTGAACTTAACGTAGATGGTTGTTTGCGAATTCCCGTTGTTGAATACAAATCCGTAAAACTTTATAACGAAATTTTGCTGCTTTTAATCACTATGTGGAAGAAGCCGACCTCCTAGCCAATGTTCACTTTTCAAACAAAAGCCATATTTAACGTAATGTTCACTAATGTGCCACCGAAGCCACGAGAATGATCCTTTAGCCGAAGACATGTATGTCCTATTATCACTTGGACCAAGAAACATTAATGGTGCACATTAGGCGAATCTCATGGCGACGATTTGGTATTGAGTGATGAACGTTATTCGCCAGAAGAGTATACAGCGGAAACGACTGTTTGTCCCTAATCGCTCACTTACTTCTTTTTCATCTTCTTCACCAATGCACACTGCCTACTTGACCAGAGAAGAGCGTTCTTCAAGACTGAGGCAGTCCCGAAAGACTACCGTTTGCGCTTCAGCAGCACTTTTGCTTCTTTGATCTCAACCTGCTTGATAAAAGCTGATTTTAAATACGGTCGAGGAAAATCATGCTGCCATTCTCATCATTTATTACATGGGTTCTCTTCATATTATCCTGAAGCAGTCAATATGGTATGTCACATTTTTTTATAACTCGTGGTAATTTCTGGAAATATTCACTATCAGTTATGCGGAGCACTGACTGCCTTCGGAAATTCGGAAATGATTGCAATTCTAGCCCTTCTGTTTTCATGTACTGCTTTGATTACAGTCGTTTTTCTATTATCTCAAATATTTTAAAGTAACTTCTGTTCAATTCCTACTACTCTTTGTTGTCGACCTTCGCGTTTCGCTCCTTGCTGGATGCTGCAGCTTGTCCATGCAAATTCCGGGTACCTGATTCTCCGTACAAGCCTACGAGGGCTACTGAGTCCAGTTTCAAGGTCTCAATTAGCCGACTCCAAATTGTGAGTGACCAGTTACGCCTTACTGGACCACTTTACTCTTCACCCTTACGGTCACACATTCATGCGAACCGAAACCAAAATGGGGCTAGTTCCGAAGTTGTTTTTGCTCTCGTTACTCGCATTATGATCCTCTTGTACTTCGGCTACTTCATAGCGCCAGATCAAGTTCCCACTCATTGGTGAATTTCGCTTTAGACGATCTGTATTTGTAGACGAGGCCTCTTCATCATGAAGTAATGTCAAGCGTGAAGAAAAAGTCATCATTCAAGCGTCAACAAACGTTGTACATTGAGACGTTGGTAAGACTCCACTCTTTCTCCTATCTCTGGAATCTTCGAGACAGTTGCTGGATGTCTCGCGTCGCTATTGTTATGATCCGAAATCCTTCACGGAAATGACACATTGGGAGACATGAAATATAGGTTCGCATAATGTTTACCCATGTTTCCACCAACGAATCGGGTCAATTATATCAGACTCTTCCAAGGACGCCTACCGACAGCTCATCATTGTGCTGTGTCCAAGTTGTTGACGAGTGAATAAGCGAAATGCGCCACGGAATCCTGGCGCGTCGTTTTCCCTACGGATTCTCAAAGGTCTTCAAATAGAAAGAGAACAACTTTTTTCATTTCATTCAAGAATATCGAAATTCCTTTATTTCAGCGGTATCATGCAGCCGACCTTGAAAGACCCGCGTACATGATGGCACATTTCCCGGTACGTCAATATCTTTCTATACTTTATTATGCGCTTTTTTACAATTGCCGAGCACATTTGCTTTTTGCAGGATCATGATAATTCCTCCGAGAAGATTTCCATAGAGCCTGGCCTAAAACTCTATCAGGCCTTTGAAGGTATAGATAACAGCCGTTTTGCTCATAAGTTGTATAATGGTCGCGAAGTTATAATAAGAGTTTTACAAAGACAATACGTGATGACGGATTCTGCCATCCGTCACAACGAGCGAATTCTCTGTAGCTTTGAGTCTAACGGCTATTTTAAGGATTAAAGCGAAACTTTCAATTCATTCAGAAGACGTGTTGACCTCAGTCTGCTATTTTTGGAGGGTTTTTGTTCACAGAACGATGAATCAGTGAGCCTTTGCGCCAGTGACTCACGCTGACAGCGGATGATTCTTTTCCCAGCTAACAAATATTAAGAAAAATGTCCAACGTGAAAGAAAGAGAATGGAAGGATCTCATCACGATTTCATTCCTTCTTATAATTATTTTTTAGCTACAGCACAGTATTGTCGACTTGTAAGAGGAAGCGGTACACCGATTTTTACATGGATTTAAAGCCACTTTTCATCCTAATTTGTGTTTGGCTCCTAAAGGAAATTTAATTCTGTCCAATTGGATGAAAGTTTTGTCAAGAAAACTAGGAACGGTTTATACTCCTTTACATCAAGAAATTTTTATATTTAGCACAAACTACGTTATTTTAACTGCTTATTTTTTCACTGAACTAGTACCTAATCGACTTTTATACTCGTTTGCCTTCATGCCAATTCTTCTTAACGAATAACGCTCGAAGTTACTTTTCGACAATTGAAGACAACTTCTTGATTACTTGGACATTTAAAAAGTTGACAACTCATAGATTTGTAGAAGAGACTTTGCTCGATCTTTTTAATAACATATATAATTTTTGTGGAGGGCGCGTGTGGCGTAGTGGTCGGAGGCGCACTGCAACCCACGCGTGGAATCGATCTCACCGCCTATGGCTCACTAAGCCTTCCATCCCTCTAGAGTCAGCAAATTGTACAAGACTTGTCTCGGAAGATAGCAACACTGGCTCGATGCATCGCTAGGCCACTGAGAGTCATTCTAAAGGCCAGATGTGCACTCAATTAACCCCAAACGATGCTTAGTGAAATCGAATGCATGGCGCATCTCTCAGGCATTGATAAACGTCGAGAGCTTTATCCTTATTATCCTTTTAGTGCTATCGGGAAGGAACGCATAGCGCAGTGGTTAGAGGCTTTTTGAAATACATGCATAGTCTTTGGCTCGGGCCCACCCTGCAGGCTTGGAGGGTCATCGCTCCGTTCCTCCGGGATTGTCGAGGTGGTACCGTGCATATCTGGGACGATACTACCACTGACTTGGAACATAAGTGAGCTGTCCCAAGTGATTTCCAAAATTTTTGCATAGGCCTTCATTCGTTTCCGTGACGCTAGAAATGAAGTCAAATGCCTGGTGTATCCTTAACAGGTTGATCAAAGCGGAGTGCTTTTCGCTTTCATCCCTTAATTGTGTTATGAAGAACTTTTAGCAGATAGATATAGCAGTATGCCAACATTTCTGGAACCTTATGCGAATGCAGGCAAATCAATGCCAGATTCGGTTCCCATACACTCTAAAATGAGCCCGATATCTGAATTCTGTGAAAAAGTTTAATAAATTGCACAAGTAAAAATGAAACGAAGATGAAATTCCTAGAAATGGCAAACAAGAAGTGCGACGGTTTCTTGAGATGAATTGCTCTGAAATGAATAATGACATCACTAGAATTTTTATGGAAATGGAAATTGATACCATGGAAGTTTCGGCTCTGACGCCGCTCACAGCTATTCGGCTGATCCTCTCACTAGCAAGCGTACCACGAGAACCTGGCGACAATGTGAGCCATGGGAACTCCAAACCTCTGCTCTCATGCTGGCTGAACAATGTGGCGACTCACACTTTCGGTGTGGAATCTATCAAAATTGGCCCCTTTTAATACCCTGTTTACCTCTAACGTGATTTAAGCTTCCTTGAGATCTTTAGTACGAGACAAACCGTACACGCGGTTTTTCGTTACATTAAACACTTTCCCGTTTTAAAGTGATAAAGAACAAAAGACGTGCATTGTCAACAGGGCGTGTTCGCCTGTCAGAGAATTGATTCATAGATTTTTGGAAAGAAACTTTAGCAACATGAGCATTTTCAAGGAAAGTGAACGTCTTTGCGAAAGGACTAGAAGGGAACAATGTTACACATTTATGGACCTTTCATCAAAGTTATAATATTTTACTGTTCATCTGCTATTCATTGCTTTCGTCTTAAAACCAAATCGAGCAATGTCGACAATTTTTCGTTCTGATGTTTGTTAACCAAATTGTAGTCACAAATTGTCGTGAATTAACAAGACGAATATTTTCATAGTTTAGTTTTTCCGGAAGGGCGCGTGTGGCGCAGTGGTCGGAGGCGCTCTGCAATATACACATGAGATCGATCCACGCGCCTATGGCAATGCATGGCGCATTCCTTAGGGATTGATCAACGCCGGGAGCTTTGTCCTTTATTTTTAATTTGAAGGACGGCTGCAATACGTGTTAAATTTAAAGATTTCGGCTTTTATGCTCTGTCTTGAAATTTTCACAGTAGTCTCGACGTTCAATGGTGCTCGAAAAAGAAACTTTTTTAAGCACAACTCTCGACGTGCATTGACTTCAATACATTTTGTGCGAAATCGATCGTTTGGAAGTTTATAATTTCCATTTTCATCTTTTGGAAAGAATTTGGGGGCCAAGGTAATTGAAAATGAGAAATATCTTGTAAAAATTATATTTAGTGTTGTAGCGAAAAACAAAGTTTCCGCTATAATTCTGTGAACTTTCCAAATGCTCTCCTAATGATCGACGATAATCAGCAGTTGTCGGTAAACCCACAATCGTCATCCTCTTAAACTTGTTTTCGAATTGCTATGAGAAATTCCAGAGCCATAAAGGGCGAGCCACCAACAGCAATTTAGTTAGAAATGGTCTAATGAAAGAGTTGCTCTCATAAGACCGATCAGTTGTTCTTCTAGAACCGCTTCGATCACGAGGACTCAATGTGAATGACGTCGAGATCTTCATTGAGCGCAGTTCGTCGGCGATTCCCGAGAACGCCGACGTTCGATTCTTGGCCGGACGGAACGTCATTGTAAGAGGTAGGCCAAGTAGTCGGGCAGGACGAACTGTGCGCACTGGTGGGACAGGCAGCTCCTGTTGTTGTTTTGCTGACCGTCAGGCCTTCCAGAAGCACGCAGTTTCGTGGCTTCGTCGTTTTTTCGTTTGATTTGATTCTCTGGTCTTGATCGTTTCTCAGTTTCATTCCTTCGTAGCTATTTCGTTTCAACCCACGCTCTCCGAATTTTCCCGCTGACATCGCCTTTATTTGCCAACAACGCATTGCTGTCATTTTTTTGTGTTTTAAATATCGTAGTTCTTCCTCAAATGATGTGCTAGGAACATTCTATTCGAATGCATGTTTGCTATTCTCCGCGACATGATTTTTCGACATTCGAATGCCTTTCTAGTCACTCCTCTTTCCAAGCAAGACAAAGGTTTTGCTGAAAACAGTGAACATAATTGGATATACAGAATACTCGTTTTTTTTTTTTTGTTCCAAATTGAATGATTAAAAGTGATACTTGAATTGCACACCTAATTAGAACGGCGATAAAGAACGGCCGGATGTTCTCTACTCTCTTTCGTCTTCTTGTTTTTTTTCCCTTTCTTCTTCTGCCGTACCTCTTAGATTTGCAGTGTTCTGCGTGGCTCTGACGGCAATTGTAGTAGATTCGAGGTTATGAGAGACTTCTACATTACTGCTCATCCACCATAACGACTTGCACGGTTGCTCGGCGACCTCTCTTCAAAACCCCAAAACTCGTTCGTTCTCGGATGGACACTAATGCCGTTGAACGCAAAATTGCAGTGGCCTCTTGGACCAGGATGACACCGCGCCAAAAAGAAGCCTCATTGGTTGCCCTCAAGAACGCAGGAATTCATCGATTTTGTTTGCTTTTATTCTGTTATTATGGCAGCCTGTATCACGTCAGGTGATCGTCTGTGTGGCTCCGAATGGAGAGGTGTTTCGATAATTTGGAATTTGTTTCAGCGTTTGGATTGCCTGCCATCTCAAAGAAATCATGCGAGCTCAATTATATTTTTCATTTAACTGCTTTGAAGTTTGTTGAAATTTCCTCTCACCTGAGTGACATGTGCTTAGGTGGGAGCAGGTTTCTAGCCTTTGCGGACAAGAAGGTAACAAGGTTTGCTCTCAGACATTGTGGGTCCTTAGAACGTTAGCTTTTACCTCCTTCTTAGATCCCATTGTTATCTTTTTAACTGAATGAAGTACAATGAAGCACTTTGATTCTTAGATTAGTTTGACTTTTAACTAGGTATCCGTGTGGAAGCATTGAAGTCCTTAGTGTTGACGGCTGTGTATAGGCGATGAACACCACCACCTTCTCTACCCAACAACATCCGCAACCACGATTGATGGAGTAAACCACTGAGAGTTCAGTGTTCGTTTGAGAAAAGAAATAACACCTAATTTCTTAAAATGAGCTACAATGTTCTAATCGGTGCTTTGAGGTGAATGTTTGAGCAAGGATATTCTTACTTTTAAAAGAGATTCTCATTGTGTATTCGAGTGGATCGAAGAATTTCCTCGTGGGCGTCATCATCGAATCTATGCTTGAAGGTGCTTTTTGTTGTGTTAAGTCTTAAAACTGAGCGCATAATTGCTGCATCGACATTGCTGTGAACAGGAAACAGTCGAGGAAGACCCGCTTGTGGAAAACTTGAACTGTTTGAAGAAGCAAGACAGAAGTAGGTAGTAAAACTTGTAAGACAATGGATGGGGCATTTTCGAGTTCGATTTCGACCCCATTTCGTGATCGAATGTGGAAATGGTGTGTGAGTCCTTGGCGGTATGTCGACGACCTTGGCGTGAATATGTGGTGAATCCGTCCGTCGCAAATTTCAGAGGCGTTCGTTCACCTCGTAGTGTTGTTTTCGGTTTCCTCATTTATCTATTATACGTGTCGTTTAGTCTTTCATCTCTACTACATTAGTAACAAATAGTTGTTTTCAGCGGCATCTATATGTCTGTCTAAACTGGTCTCGATTACTAATTTAGCAGTTTTTTTTACTGTATTATCTTCTATGAAACATAGTTAGAACAACCAGTTCATGGTTGAAGCTTCCACGACTAGTCACAAATCTCACTAGTACTAAGAAGGTTCACACCAAACTGCATGTGAGCTGAAGTCCGGTTTAGGTTAAAAAGTCTGGTTTGTCGCGCTTTTCTTCTACCCTAAAGCAGATATTTTTTGCTTAAGAAGGTTGAGTATTTTCATTGTGGATATTTATCACTTTTCTGGTAGTACATATTTTTTTAAAACTTTCCGAAGTCCACTAGTTCGATTTCTGTCCGTGAAGATGCTGCTACAAAACAAACGGCATCGCTGGAAGTTTGTAATTCACGTAATGGAAGCCTTAATAGGTAGTGGCCACCCAATTTCCGTCGAGTTTCAAGCACTAACTACTCATTTTAACGGTTGCCAGACGAGATTGTGGACTTGATCATATTTAATATTAGATGGAAAAAATTAGTGTTGTTTTATATGATTTGTAATATAGCGCAATGGTTAAAGGAGAAAACACATGGATTCCACCCGTTTCCAAGCTCAATAAGCATTTCATCCTTCCTGAGTCGGCAAATTGGCACCAGACTTGTCTGTGAGGATAGCAACACTGATTCGATACATCAGTAGCCTATCACGAGTCATTGTAAAAACAAGATATGCATTCAATCACCTCTAACGATGCTTAATGAAGTTGAATGCATGGCGCATCCCCCAAAGATTGATCAATGCCGAGAGCTTTATCCTTTATCCTTTTTATGTAATTTGAAAAATTTTGGCAAAATCTTTAACAGCGTTTATCACCGAACTGCTGGCTATTCCGAGATTGACGGTTATTATCCAGAAAAAATTGAAGATAGCAGGTTAAAAATCTCGTTGTCGTCTGATTCCTCCTGATCCGGTGTGGTTATATGAGGGCTTCGTCAAATCCGCTTTCACTTTCCGAATCACGCCGTAGTTTGTATGGTCGCGTTTATGTAGATTTGTGAGAGGAATTGGCACATAAGTATAGAGAATACGTTTCGTATGGGGTTGACGTCGAACACGATTATTCATCAATATTTCCTTCACATTCGCTCGTTCGCTCGTCATCACGGCAGTCGTTCTTCGCTCACAAATGTCGCGACGCAAACCGATGCTTTCCGGATCACAAATCTCACTACTACTAAGAGGGTTCACACCAAACTGAAGTCGTACGAGATAAAGCAGCTCCGCGAAATCCACGATGCATGTGAGCTGAAGGCAGAAGTGGGAAATCACCAGCATTCGTTTCTCGATCTTTCTCTCAGTCATTTTCAGGACAGGACTATGTTGTTATCTCATTCCTGTTCACGACGTGCACAACTACTCCTTTGTGATTGTCAAACCTCGAAACTACTTGCACGAAATAACCTGAAACCTTTCACGTAGTGAAAAATATCAGGGCCATTACTGACTCTACTAAATAGTTCTGTTGAAGTACTATGTAAGTCACTAGTGGTTTTTTGTCGAGACATTCTGGTTTTTTTTTATGATGGTTGAAAAAATTGTAGCTATGAACGAGAAATACAAATTATTTCTTTAAATAAAACCGAAATGATGTTGAGATATTTGCAAAATTCGGAACCATGAGAAGGCTTCGAGCCAGCAATTATCCTTTCCGGGTGCTCACGTGCTGTCCACCACACCAAGCGAGGCTCTTGCTTTGCTTTTCTCTCCGCCATTTTTTTACTCAATCTGTGCCATCAGCAGCCACCCGTCAACGGACATGATCTGAGGGGGAAAATCGTCATGAACCTACTTAAGGTGGATATGCAAGCAAAAAACAGTGAGAAAAAGGCAAAGCAAAACTTCGGAAGATAGCACGTGAGCTTCCGGAAAGGATTATCGTTGATTCGAAGTCTTCTTGAGGTTACGAGTTTTGCAAATATCTCAGCATCACTGTGGTCGTATTTCACATAGTGTCCAGTCACGGAAAAAGAATAGGCAGCAAGTAAGGGTTAAACAAAACAAAAGCTAAACATTGTGGTTTTCTTAATGCTAGGCATGATCACAACGGCTGTGAATCATTTCTTCGTCAGATTCGTACCCCTGCAAGCAGTTTTTCTCGCTTCTTTTTCAAAACATAGACGAGCAGATATTTGAATAAAAAATTCTATATTGTTCCTGATAGTTGACCCAACAGATTAATGTTCGTTGAGAACTTGTTCGCGCCTCTCTTCGTTTAGCTCAGTATGGGGCTCTTTTCAGCGCCTCGCAATGTTTCACAAAACCCCTTTCCAGATCTGTTATGAATCACGAAGCACTCCCCACATCGCAGGAATATAACAAATTAGATTGCACTAACAGTGATTCCAGTCACACTTGCATCTCATCTCATTTTGTCTTATCTTACCGCTTCCTTGCCTCAGTTTCCTATGACTTAGTGCACTCCGAGAACATTCCGCTAAACAGTGACTCCTTTGCCGTTCCGCGGATTGTGCAGCTTTTCAGACAGCTAATAAGTAATATTCTCCTTATAATGCATATGAGTCACACACCCTACGCAGATGTTATCCGTCCAACAACATATTTTTCATTTTCTTCTCAAACGCTCTACCAAAACGACAACCAGGAAGACGTGTGGTCCCACTTATTGCATTCTCGTCACAAGAATATACCTCGTGTCGTTTTTCACTAGTATTGAAAAAATGTTTTATTTTCTTTCACGATTTATTAATGAAATTTTTCCTATTTCTTAACCCTCTAAAGTTATAAGTATTTACTTGGTTTGGCAAACAAAGCTCTAAAGTAGAACCACATCCTGTCGTAGGAAGGTGCAATTCTTCATGAACTACTTCTGCTTGTTCCCGTTGCCATTAAGAATCGCGCTTCGCCATCAATGCATTAGAAAAGAACCATCTATTCGCTGTCATCTGAATTACCTGTATCGTCTGTCTCTATTATCAATTTTCGAGTGGCGAGAGTAGATGTCGGTAAACTGGATTCATTAATGTACCGTTCAATGGACACGAGCAACGTCATATTTTTCTGTAATGAAGATAATCAGGTCGACTATCTTCATGTTGTTTGTTTGGCATCTCATGGGAATGAGCAGCAAGCTACTCTCAAATTCATGAACTCATCATGTATACAGTCATTCTAATTTTCGGTATCGTAGAATATATGTTGACGTTGGTGTTATCTCATCTTCGGAATAAGTCAGAAATTTGGAATCCATCTCCTGTTTGCATGTTGCAACACAGTCGTAGCATCATTCTCTTGGTATCACGTCTGATCGGTTGTCGAAACACACTCATTGGTCTTTAAAGCTTTTGGCTCACCAGGTTTTCGAAACGTAAATTAAGAGGGGAGGAACCGTGGAGTCGAAGAGAGTAGGAGTGGGCGTAAAAACTCGTGTTCTCTGACGTATCCTTGCCATCTTCGACGCTCATCTAAGCATCTCACGCCGCCCGTTCCCTTCTGTTCATCTCTGCAATTACGTCGTTCATTATGCTTTCTTCCTGATCCAAATAGATAGAGCTGGAGCATTTGGAGATATTCGTACGATTGAAGGTGTGTAGGCGTAAGGCGCAAATCAGTTACTCTTGAACGTAATTTTCTTCACCTTCAACTGACGACTTCTCTCTGAAGTAGAATTAAGGGACAAATTATAAACCGTCCAATGCATACTAACTGGCTAAGGGTTAAGATATGATTAAGGATTATCGCAAAGAAAAATTTTCTCGACTCTTAACCCGTAACTAAATTTAGACCACGTTTTAATGTTGCTGCGGTTCTAGGTCAGTGCTGTCACTGCAAAATTATTTAACGCAGTAGGGGCACGGCAGTTTTCCCCTGGGTCAATAATAACGGTCTTTTTAACTTGTCGTCCTATAAGCTCTTGCTCGTAGCAAACTATTGATCTTAGTTTGAATAATCGAGATTGTTCTCATTTATGAATTATTGTCATGTTTTCTACCTTCAACTATATTTCTGAAGTAGTTCCTTCTCGGACTTTATAGTATATGTATATACACTCGGACAGTATATGTGAAATAGTGTATCGTCATTCCTGATAAATTCTTCTTCATTGCCATGCATGGACTACACGAGCTACCTAGATGGGTTTTGAAAGTCCATTATGGCTGAAATATAGAAGAGACTTAAAAGCCCCCTAATAACTCGAAGATGTCGTGGTATTGCGAGCTTCCATCAGAATGATGGAATGTACCTGCAGTGGAGATTTGTCATAATTATAGCTTTGGCTTTCCAGATAATTCGGGGTTATTGTGAACCTCCAAAATTTAATTTCAAAATAGCAACGTCATTTCATTAGAAGACTGTCTGAAGTTTTCGTTCATTGCATACATGAAGTCGACGCAGTAGTTCCCGTCACTGGCATACACTTCGCCTTTCTTTGACATCCATCCATCTCTGTCTGTTTCACACTTAGTTTTTTCTTACTTTTAGTCTCGCTGGAAACTTTGCTTGTCACCTCGTCTGACTGGTCACGGTTGAAATGAGGCCAAGTTAAGGATTCCTATTCGATTTAGTCTGCTCTTGACTGCCTACATTTTGCAATCAATTTAACACCAGCGTTCTCACGCCGAAGGGCATCGCTGTTTTGTTAGAATGACGGTTTTCTTGTTAAGAATTATCGGAAAAGTTTTGAATGAAAAAGTCGGCAATATTCAAAGCATATGTGAAATAGCTTTAGGCAACGATGTTTCGCTATTCTAAGGAGATTTCGCTTCCCTATTCTGCTCTTCGCACATCGTCGTCGGATTCTCCAGGGTGTCCGTGCTAAGGAACTAAACTCGTCATTTCTTGTCAGCTATGCATATTTGTAACCTCTTCTTTTCTTAGACCGGGTCAGACCCTGGCCAGGTTGATCTCGGGATCTCTTGGAACCACAACGTCTCAACCGGCTGCTCTCCAAGAAAAAGGAAAATTGGAGATTGTGCTGGTGCCCGCACGACTAATGAAGAGGGGCTGTCAAAGTATCCACGTATCTTTTCTTAGTCGTTCTTTTGTTCTTTTCGTTATCATTGCTTTTTTCTTTGTTCTCACATTCTTTCTGTTCATACTTTGGTTCTTGCCAGTGTATCTGATATCTGTCATTTTCTTTTGCTCCCACTTCCGCAGTCGTTTTTACTACACTCATCGCTATGTGGAATTTGATGTCGTGTTGCAGGATTGAATGTAGTTGTCATTGTGGTGTTGGTACAATCCTAATGTTCGTTGAAAAACTCGGTGTTCATTAACGATCTACGCGATATGTTATAGTATCTACAGTGGTTACGGTGATCGACCGTTATGTAACCTCAGTAGTAAGAATCAATACCTTCTTCGATTGATAGACTAACACGAGTTTGACAAAGAGGTATTACTTTGACAAGATATCACCGTAACCATTGTAGATATAAAGAGCTGTTGAACATAGGATATTTGCAAATATTCTGCATTGGTGATGAGATCTTAGGAAGTGGGGAACGCTCTAAGATCTTAGCCGAAGTCGTCGCAAGCTACTATGTAGTTTGTTACTATTGTACTTAGTGAACGTTGTGAGTCGGAATTAGAATAGTCCGAGAGCCAAAGCGAGAAAAATCTGTGTGGAAAAGATGGGGACGAATTTAGGAGACTCGCACCGTTCTCTACTCAGGTGTGATATGCGATGAAAAATGACTTCTTTCTGGGAACAGAATACAGTTCTAAAGCAATTTCCGAAGCTGTAGGTGCGCGAAAAATGGCTACGGTCGTTGTCTGGTCATTAAACACTGGAATAATTCACGTTTACTTTTTTCCAACAAGTTGAAACCTTAGTAGAAACATCACAGCACAAACAACTAGATGAAGCGCAGTAGAAGAAAAGAGCTGAGGAAACCTGCACTAGGCATTAGAAAAACAGCTGAGCTGTATGCTTCTGCACACATGTTCTCATTAAATCCATGAAGTTTGTCATTATCAGCGCAAGAATGGGACCACTACTACAGCTACTGCCAGTGACGCTAACACTGCATTTATCCCAGAACCAGTTAGTGATCGCAAAATCCGGCGTCCGGCAATGTGCTCAGCAAATTTCGCGAATGTATGTTACTGTGAAAAATTTCCTACGTCGAAGAATCCACTAGTCCTGTGGATGCATTAATAGCGTAATAAATAGGCATCGTCTAGTTCTAGTTGCCTGAAACTCAATCCGGTTTTTTTGTAGGAATCATGTGAACCACTGATGAAACTGATTTAGGCCAAAACTGAACAGAATCTGCCGTAAACCGACACCTAACGCTATGGCGATCTGAATTTCACTTTATTCCCTTGTCTCCCTTCATTTCTGTCCCACCAATTGACTGAGTATTACGCAGATTTCGATTCACACGTTTGCTACAAAGTTTGTTCTCATCCACAGCAAAAAAAGCACGGCTGTTTCGATCCCTCGTAAAGAAAGTAGAATATCTTCAGTTAAGCTTAATTAACTGCTTCGTATCTACATTTTTTGTGAACAGAAACAGCATATCGTAGGATAAGCTTAATTAACTTCTTCAGATCTGCAATTTTTCCTATTACGCTATCATCTGTGTAAAAGTATCGTTTTTACCTCGGTTGTAGTCACATGCGTGCAATTACATCGGTTCTTGTGAGTCAAGGGTGGCTGGCTATCTGTCTCCAGCTAAATAAATCGCTGCGATGGGGTTGCTGACGAGCTCCCGAATGTGATATCAACGTGTTGGCAACAGGTTCTGCCTAGAACCAGCATTCTGAGATCACTGTTAGCATGCAGTTGTTTTCGACATAGCTGCTCTTCCATTCCAGCTTATCATGTGATGCGTGCTAAGCGTTGTTTTTTGTTGGTAAATGTCATGTTCGTGTTTTCAATGATAGTGTACAGTGTTGAGCTGATGCTTAGAATATTCATCATCCATTTTGTTCAGGTCGGTCAGGAATGCGAATGATTAGCCATACACGGCCCACTCCGTCCGCAGACGAAGCCGTAGCCAGCGAACGACCCAGCCGTAAACTGAGCACAGAAGCTGTCTGCCGCAAGAGTTCGTTCGTACACGCCAGAGTGGTACGGCCCTTCTTATGCTTAGCATCTGTGAACTCAGTCAAATATTCAAGTGAATATAAATGGCATGGCTATGAAAAGCAGAGAAAAACACTATAATAAGTGTTAAAGAGTTAAAGCGTATGATGTTTTGATGTTTAATCCAGTCGTTTAAGAACACTAGACTGAAGGTGCTGAAGATTCTTTGAAAAATGTAGCTGTGGTTCCAGATGCAAAAATCTCGCCAGGAATTTCGAATCCACTCCAGTGACGAAAGCGATGCTCGAGGGAGTGAGAGTTCTCTAAAGTTAGTTCTTCTGTCGTTGTTCCCTTCTTTCTTAAAAGAAATATTCTGTTAACTCCGCCGCTGTCATACGGTGTATCCAGTAAATTAAATTGGAAACTAGTTCTATACGGTTTTTATTCCAATTGATTCAACGGCTGAATACGAGTGGTGTGTTCGTCTCTATACCATGTTTGCCATGACAGGCCATGCAATTCCTTCACTTGTTTTATTCACAACATTCCCAGGGAGGCGTGTATAACCACTTTCTTATTCATTGTCATCCTTCCATCCAACCCTATGCTGCTGGTGTTTTCCATCCTAAGCTAAGAAAGTGAAACATTTCTTGCAATCTTGACGGAATTTTACAATCCTCTGTTGGGAAGATGGCGCAAATTCTCAGTTTGTCATGATGTCCATGCAATATTAGTAACTTCGAAACTTTCTAAGTGCACCTGCCTTGCTCTTTCTTAAACCTATACCATCTATTTCTCATATACTATCATTGCGCTAAGAAACTCCTCTCGATTTTCCGTATTTACTGCCTAATACTAATTTTCACGGAAGGGTACTATATGAAATACAACCACAACGATGCTGAGATATTTGCAAAACTCCGGACCGCAGGTGTATGCTGTGGGGAACGAACGTGCTATTACCCATTAACACGTTCATCACCACACCATTTAAAGTGGGTTCATTGCTGATTTGGACTCTCTAGATCAATGCCGTTGACGGGTGATTGCTGATGGCACACTGGTCGATAGAATTAGCTGAGAGACAGGCGAAACGAAGGACTGCATAGTGTGGTGGTCAACGCGTTAGCCCTCGGAAAGGGTAATAGCGTGTTCGTTCTTCACCGCATACAGCTGCGGTCGGAAATTTTGCAAATATCTCATTGTGGCCATTCCATCTTTTTTAAAAATATCACCAAATGAAAGTGCTCGAGAAGATCCTTATCTAGATTTCATTTTGGGACTGGTACGAGCTAAGTCTGAGTCTAACCGATTTTTTGTCTCCTTCACCTGAATGCCATACATTTTTTCATTGAGTTAATTTCAAAGGGACCCTTTCATGGACGAACCGTCTTGTTCGCTGGCTGTCGACGATGGCGGCACTCGAAGAGCTCGGTCGGTGACCTCAAGCCGAATCAGTCTTTTCTTCGCTCGGGTGCGTTTTTTGCTGTCTTATTGATTTTTATTTTGCTATCTGACTTATATTGATATGCATCAGTTCAGAACTGGATTCTTCAGCGTGAAATGTTCTGCGTTCAAAGAAGACTTTAAAATGTCCCAACTTTATTAATGTCCAGCTTTATCTATCGAACTAGGAGTCATTACAAGAAATATATTTTCCAACGTTCTTACAGGCTTAAAAAGATTAAAAAAAATGGAGCTCTCGGCGTTGATCAATCTCTGAGGGAGGGCCATGCATTCGACTTCAATAAGCATCGTTTGGAGGCGATTGAATGCATATATGGCGTTTACAATGACCCCCGGTGGCCTACCGATGTTTCAAGCCAGTGCAGCTATCCTCCGAGACAAGTCCGGTACCAATTTGCCGATCCCGGAGAGATGGGAGCCTTGATGACCACGAGCGCGGGGATCGATTCCACCTGTGTGTTGCAGGGCACCTCCGACTACTGCACCACACTTACGAGCTTAGGTATGCAACATACACAAGAGCTTCGATATCTGGATCTGGTAAGGTTTTCCAAGGTCTCTCTAACTGCTTGTTGATTGGAGAATATTTTCTGCATATGAAATTTGTCCACATTATTAGAAGACTCGGTAAGAATTGTTAATATCCAATGCTGACGAGGAACGGATATAGGGAGTTTCAAACTCCCTACTCACTCAGTTTCTGCACTACCGCCTGTGAAAGGGAAAGACTCGTATTGTGAGTGCAGCAGAGCTGGTCAGTCTGCATGGATTAATCGCAGAAGTTGCAGCTGTTAGTGCATTTCTTTGGCTTTCCAAGACTTTTTGCAATGATCCTTCAGCAAGTGACAGTGGATGATTAAGTTCGCCGAGAAGAGGGGATTCATAATAGCCGTTAAGATGCGTACTAGTCTTCGTAGGACTTGGGCGCTTCCACCTTTTTCCAATCATAGCGCAGATCGCCATCAGTTGCTGCTGAGAATCCATTTTTGCTCAGTCGACACTTTTTCATCAAGGAACTGATCGTTTTTGGTGTATGAAGGAAACGAAACATCGACTTCATTAGGGCGAACTCCTCACTTCGCATTCAACTCATGCAGCAACTTTTTGGATTAGCTCTTGAACCATTCCAGTACTCTTGTATAATATGAGCAACGCTGAGATCCATTCAATTCTCATTATTGGGCCAAAAAGTCGATGCTGTACAGGACTATCAAACATTAACTTTGGTTTAGTGGATCCTAAGAATAATGGTGCATAGACCTAGGCATGTCGATCAACAACCTTTAATAGTCATATGAAGCTCAAATTGGTCATTTCTAGGAAAAAGAGATGTTAAATAAACTGAACGAAATGAAAGAGCGAACGGAGCCGATTTCTGCCGTCATCCCTGATATTGAGGATAATTGGACTGAGATCGTTCTCGATCGAGCGGTAAGCCTATGATTCTTTCTATTCAACGAACTGTGGTCACCTACCTAAGAGTCGCTATGGTAGGAAGTACTCGTCGTTGTACTCAGAACGAAAAGTTGAAACATTTTCGAGGTTAGGAAAAACAGAGTTCTCACTATAAACGCGATCACCTTAAATGAGCAAAAAGGTGCTCAATTCATTTTAGTGCTTTATTGTGTCCATTTCTTGTCGTGTCTTCGATCCCAAACTCTTTCTTCTGTCACACTGTTTTCTCTACTTCTGCGAAAAATGAGGTGTCACCACTACCTCTAGAGAAATACTTGATTAAATGTCCTGAGTTAGTGACGATTTCAGTCTTTAACTAAACGGCATGTCGATCAACAAGAAGCGATTTGGGAGATTGTCACCACAGAGTATCGATACATTCAAGTAAGAATGACCAAAGTCGTCGGTATCTACAAATTCACTTAACTATTTTGCTATTCATTAATTTCAGGTCTTGAAAAACATGCACGACTTGTCGTGTTATTTCATCGAGTTGCAAAAGATGGGCTACTTCAAGTAAGAACACTTTTGCTATTTCCAGCGTAATCTGATCTCCAAGAGAAACATTTAGGGATATAAATGTGAGCAGGGTGTTTCTTAACTATACCGAGCTTTTCACTGTGAATGTCATCTTTTGGAGACGTTCCATTCAACCCCTCCTGGACTGGTCAAGGTTTGAATTTGAAATCGTGTTTCTGTTCACGAACCATCGTAATCGGGCAAATCTCAACTTTCTTATGGCGTCTGAGACTATGATTTTCAAATATCCGGTTAACGCCCTATCGTTGTTTTTGTATGCTAATCTTTTAAATAATGGGTTAGATGGAATATGTTCACTTAACATCCTTGGAATAAGAATTTTATTCGACGATTACTGGCCTATCAGGGTGTTCACACCACTATGGTATGGAAAACGACGGAAGCATAACGAAACTAGCCTTTGTAACAGCTGTGGACTTGACTAGAAGTCGAAATTACATCCTACAGAACTCTGAACTAATTTGTGCTGCTTTGCGCTCTCATTTGTCGATAATACTCATCTTTAAACATTTGGGATGTTAACTGGTTTGTTTTTGCTAAAATTACACTGGATCATCTGGCCATTGAACAGTCAACAATTTCTTGTTAACGATTGCTCATTTGTCGGTATTTCCAGACAAACGCATAAGCCGCTTGACCCTGTGCTCTTATTGCACGGTTTCGAGGGTATCAGTGAGTGGTCAAAGTGCTATATTCCCTTCAATCTTGGTCACGACGACAGTCACACTTACGTACAGAAGAAACAAAAGGATAACGAATTGTTCAGGGAATTCGTACAGGTGGTTCTCTTACATGGATGGAACTACATGGACTAAGATAGTATTTTCGAGAAAAGAACCTAAAATCACAACAATGCTAAGATATCCGCAAAACTTGAACCCTGTGCCAGATTGAATCACGATATTCCTTTCTGGGTGCTCGCTTATTAAACACTGCGCCACAGAGGCCCTTGCTCTGCGTTTCTCTCAGCTACTACCTAACGCTGTCATCAGCAGTCACCCATCAGCGGAATTGATCTGGAGAGCACAACTCGGCATTAAACCTAGTTAAGCTGAGGCTGTACTCGAAATTGCGTTGTTAACCTTTTATTTTCTGCCCACTATAATTTTTCACGGTAGGGTGTGATGCGAATTACAACCACAACGATGTTGAAATAATCTCAAAACTTGGACCTCGGACCAGATCGAACCACGATTTACCTTTGCGGGGGCTGGCACACTAGAAAGATAGAAGCTAAACTATTTCATGGTTTTGCTGACGAAACATGTAGAAATGCACTCCATGTGTAGAATATGTCCATAGCCGTCCGGCTTTTCTAATTCAGTAGATCGCACATATTCAATACAATGATATTTTTCTATTGTTCGTTCTTCTTTTGTAGCCTTTCATAAATTTCATATGTTAGAACTTTTCAGTGGGCTGAGTCGCAGGAGTCAATGCGACGGCAGAAGCTGTGCGACACACTGACCAGTCCGATGCAACGGCTCACCAGATACAGCCTTCTGTTGAAGGTTTACTGAAAACACTTTCCATTTACGGCTTCTTCAGTGCTGTCCCAAAAATCGCACTTTCAGGCCGTCCTCTCGAACTCGACCGACGATCGTGAACGTTTGATTATCCAAAGTTAGTTCTAGTAACAGCTTTTTAATTTACATCATTCAATGACACCATCGCAGACTGTTGTAATTTAAAGCCTTAGCGCTGCGAATGAATTCTAATGGATAATAGCGTCTTTTTTCAACCAAATTTTGAATTTTCGGCGCTATTCATCGTATTCATCACTTTACTTGCTTTATTACCACTATTATTTAGTACTGATTTACAATCTTGAGTAATGCTTTTTGTGGCAATATTGTATTCATTTATGGTTTCTCTCTAAGAAGCACATATGGCGCAGTGGTTGAGGAGCCCTGCAATGCACACATGAGATCGATCCACGCTCCCGTGGCTCACCAAGCCATCCATCATTCCGGGCTAGGTAGATTGGTGCCAAACTTGTCTGGAAGGATAACAGCACTAGCTTGATACATCAGTAGGCCACCGCGGGTCATTGTAAGGCCAGATATACATTCAATCACCTCCAAACGATGCTTAATAAAGTCGAATGCATGGCTCATCCTTCAGGGATTGAGTAACGACGAGAGCTTTTTCCTTTATTTTAGCTTCTATGGTCTCTACACTTTGAAGACCGAATTTGTCTAATTTTCTTGACACTTGGGGTTTAAATATGCCCAGACAAAGTTGTCGGACAATTCTGTGGTAGAAAATAAATAAAAATAAAATGTCACCGAATGGCATGGAAAAACCTGATACGTTTTTACAGCAATGATCGACCGAACGGATGCCGCCACTCAACAGTTGAACTTCGAGCTCAACAACAACGACCTCAGACTTCAAATGGCAGAAATCATGAAGAGTATTGACGGTTACGATGCAGTCGATTCCGAAGAGTTCGAGAAGGTAATAAAAATTCGAAACCGCCTTCGAACGGATTATTATGGTGATATATTTCCCGAGATATCTCCGAGCAGCACAGTGCAATCAAGAAGACTTTCCTCGTCATTGTTGTTTCTCGCGTTTTCCAACTAAGTATGACGAACGAAGGCTAGAAAAAGTAGATGAGTGAACATTTACAGCTTTTTCCAACGAGGCGAACGACGTTGGATCTGATGGCGCCTATGCCACTCGTGCCTGGGCCACCGCAATTTCGGAGAGTCATTCATCGTGGGAACCTGAAAATCAGGGAAAGTCGACAAGGACCAAAGGTGCTGAATCGGAACAAGAACTTAATTCACATCAGGCTGAAATTTTAAAAAACGATCTAGTGTGTTTAAAAGCCAGAACATGTGGAAAATGTGGTGTCGTTTTCTATTATCGAATATTTTTTGTATATTTCAATCGCAAACGATGACGTTGGTTTACTCTATGAATAAGAAATTCCTTAAGATGTTAAATACTGCCGTGACACTTTTGTCCAAATTGCGAAGTTGACGGTCTTTTGAATTTTTCTGGAAGCGGATCCAGCGGGCAATGATTCACCACTTTTTCTGCAATGGTTACCTTTTTAGATGGAAATGCACTGTCTGCTGTTCACAGACATGCTTCTGCTTTGCAAGACGTCGAATCGACGAACCGACAAGGGTCTGAGGGTTGCTCGTCCTCCAATCCATATCGCTCATATGATTTATCATCCCTTCAATGACGCCAGTGAGTTTTCTAGATTATCACAAATCCTTACATATAGTAGCACTCTGAGGATGAGTGCGTTAAGCGAAAGATGAACAATCGGGAAATATTCAGTCAACAGGGATGTGGCAGAATATTTATCAATTTCTTAAATACCTGGGAAATCAACGTCGGATCTCAAATCCCTAACGGCATTTCTCCAATAGATCGCGATAGCTCGTTCTACAAAATGCCCCACTGTGTTTTCAGGCGGTTTCTTCATCATCTGCATGAATGAATTCGATGCTCCGTCCAGCATTTATCTCATGTACACAACAGATGAGAAAGAAACGCGAAGGTAGCAGTTTGCTCTGTTTTTAAAAAAGTAATTAAAAGTTAAAGAGTTAAAGTAAGTGTAAACAAAAGCTACGAGATTTTGAAGAAGTGTTCAAAACATGACAGGTTTTTAGACAGATAGGATCGAAGAAATGCACATATGTGCTACTCTTCCCAACTGCAGTTAGTGTACCATTGGAACGGAAGGATATATTTAATTCAAGGGTTAAAGGCTTATTTATTCAATTCCTTTACAATGTCGGATTGCGGAAGAGAGATATGTCGTGTAAGCACAAGGTTCTAATTCAGCGTTGCTCTAGGAAAACCAGGTCTCCCTTTCCTCAATATTGGGAAGTTGAAATTGGATTGGTCTGGGAGAGTTATCTACAAAGGCTGACAATTGCATACGCTGCTAGCCTAGTAACACTATTAGCAGTTATCTCAGGATTCCAAGGAAAATCGACTCAACCAGCATTTAGCAGCATTCGTAAAAAACACGGAAATCTTCAAAGAACAGCCGAACCCACTCGCAAATCTAAAGGCCAATGTTGATGATGAATGTGGAGAAACAATTCAAGTGAATAAAATATCGAGGTCGGCTCAAAATGTAACGCGGTTTATACAAAGAGAGAAAGCAATGTTTAGAGCTTAGACTCAGTGAATAATGAATGCGTCATTTTCTTGTTCAGCAATCGCGAGGCTTTTAAACAGCATACATTTACTTCCATAGCACACAGTACAATACAACACTAGCTAAAGTCGTCAACCATATGTGACTATAATCAGCTGTTCTAATCCTCCTCATTGGAAGTCACGAAAAAAAGCGGCTCTGAAGAAGGCGATACTGCCGAAACGTCAGCTACTGTTGTATTGTATTGTGTTTCTCTACGGAAGTAAATGTATGCTGTTTAAAAACCTCGCGATTGCTGAACAAGAAAACGACGCATTCATATTCCAATGCCGAGATTAATAGAAAGTCGATCCTGGGAACTATTACAAGATGTATCAGTGAATAATATTTCGGCTGTTTTTCGGATTATAACTTTCTTTGTAGTCGTAGATTTTTAGAAAGTTAGCATGATTGTGAAAGTAGTAGTGGGCATGTAAAATTTCTAGACAATATGTTAGATGAGGTAAAACTTTGTATCCGCATTCGCCCACGCTCGTCTTCTTTGTAACAGTACACACATAGCCGCATTCGAATCTTAATTCCAGCTTCTGACCACGGAAAGCCACAACGACCTTTCACTGTACATTGTCTTCAAAACACTGGTTCTGCATGTGCGAGCCAGTTCAAGGCAAACAAGGTTGTTTCGAATGGGAAGGATAAGTTGTTCGGCGTTTAATAATCCCTTAATGATGTCCTGTATTTCGACTCCGTTAATCATCGAAGAGTTGACGGAGTGTTTATTTGGCCTATACAGTTGCGTGGCCTATAAATGTATCGAGTCAGTGTTTTATCCCCGCCGTCAAGTCCGATACCAATTCTCTGACCTAAGACGTACGTAGGGCATCATTAGCACGAGTCAATGGGATAGAACCAACGGCAGTCTACATCATTTGGGCGTCATAAACACAGTGGTTTACGCGTTTTAGACTGTTCTACAGATATTTCCATTGCATGCCGTATTATGACTAAAAGACAGATCGTTAAGGTTTTGCAGAAGTGCAGAACGCACATCTTAACCTCTTCTGGGCCACTTTCGTCAGTATTTGCACAAAACCTCTCGTAGTCAGTTACAGACAGAATGAAGAATGCGAAAACGTAGGCAACTTGAGGTGTTTTCTCTAAAGACTTTTTTCCCGAACGATGCAATGCATGGAAATTCGTCTGTTAATAAAATGACAAGAAAGCATGCGATTTATACAGTAGCAGATGTTATTAGAAAATCCAGAGTCGTTTTTCTGTATTTTTCTTCCGTGCTTTTTGCAGATGGCTGGAGATGATCAATATTACAAGCAACGAATTCAAGCGACTTCAAGGTCGACACAGCGAATTCGAGAATTCCTTTTACGACATGCGAAAATGGTTCTTAATTTACTTTATATTTTTAAAATATTCATTTTTAACTCAAACATTTGTCTGAACGATCGCAGTTCTATTCTCTCTTGCTTCACAGCCCGCCTTGGCAACAGAACCTTCCGCACTGTATGCCGTCCGTGGCTCATCGCAAGAGCAGCAGCATGGACTCACAAGTGGTGGCCGCTCATGCACACATCAATCGTGAGTTGCGTGCTCTTAGAGTTTCTCGCTTCCTCCGGTGAATTGAAGTGTTTCCATTGCACAGTGCTTCTACCCCATATCAACCGAAATTGCAAACCTTCTCCCTTGGACAGACAGCTAGTCGTTGAATCTGAGCTTGAGCGAAATGGTTGTTTCTCAGAAAGCAACGTTTTCTTACACCAATAGAAGAATGTGGTCAGCTCGTTGTCTGATATGGGAAAGTCTATAAGCGGCACTTATTGAGCAGTTCTGAAAAACTTGACGGCATTATTTATGTTATACCCTTTTATTTTCTGCCTACTATAATTTCGCGGCAGGGTAGTAAGCGAAATACAACCACAACGTTGCTGAGATATTTGCAAAACTCTGGACCGCTGACGGGTGATTGCTGTGGCGAAGATCGATAGAAATAGCTGAGAGACAGGCGAAAGAAGGGACCCGCTTGGTGTGGTGGTGAACGCGTTACTCCCCGGAAAGGACAATGGCGCGTTCGTTCCCCACTATAGACACCTACGGTCCAGAGTTTTGCAAATATCTCAGCAAGATTGTGGTGGCATTATTTATCTTTCCTATACCTTTGTCTTTTTACTGCATTTAAAAGCTAGTAAAATGAAATTTTTCCGTGTGAAAGCTTCTTCTGAGCGCGTGTTTCCCATCCAGGCCAACATTGTATTTAGTTAGTGATTTCCTGCATTACGAATTACCATTGATGAAACATGCTCAGTTCTCGAATTTTTCTTCATCTATCAAAATTGTCTATTTCAATCTATTATTGGAGCGTGGAAAGTGCAGTGCTTAGAGATACTCGTTAATAATGCTCAAAAGGGTCTTTTTCTGGTTCGACACCACACCAGGCTAGCTACGCCTCCCATCCATCCCACGTCTGGAAATTGGTACTACCTACGCTTGTTTGAGAAGAACCCTCTTTAATCTACAAAACCAATCACCTCTGGTGAGGATCCGGGAGCGTTCTAGTACATAGTTACTCCAGGATTCTAGAAGTGATCCGCTCTAGCGCCATTTAGCAACATTCGCGAATAACAGCGAATCATTGGACATCATAGACCCTACATATAAATCCAAAGACTTTCATGGATGATTTGTGCAAGACGGCGGTGCGAATGATGAAGGCGCTGTGATATCGAATTCTGTTTCAAATGTTTGTCCTATTTTGCTCAACCGCATAAAATGCATTTCATGAATTCGATCCAAGGTGCATCAGCTTGTATTCGCTTAAAATAGCTAAGCCAAGCCAATAAATCGAAAACTTTTTGAATGAAAGAGATATTCCATAAAAGGTATTAGCACTAATATTGAAGAATAACATGGCAGGTTACTTGGACAAAAATTATTTCGGTGTTAAATGATAGTCGGACATTCCTGAAGTACCCTGCCGCTAACTAAACGAAACGATTGGATTCGATTTTTCTCCATTCGAATCCTTCCAAACCGATTTTCAGAAGTTCGTCGAGCTGCAACAGTGTCGTCTACCGAACAACTGGATCGAAATCCAGATTTTGTCGCCTCTTCCAATGTTCCCTTCCTTCACAAGCTAAGAGTGTCGAGTTGTGCACTATCAAACAGCAAAAGCAGTGTAGATCTTCATATGACGCTACCGCCAGAATCATATCCTGGTAAGAACTCTTACATTACTTGAATGCTAAAGTAACCTTAAGCAGAAAGTTTCAAAAATTACTAGATCATTCGCAAAAGTCAGCTTCAATTAAACAAAGCAAAATCGTTTACGGAAGCGCGAGCACTAAAAATGTGGTCGATAACGTGCCTGAAATGTCAAGGGTCACCGTGTTGGGAGGCATAACTCTGCCTGATGACGCGCGCTTGCTATTAGAATTAGGTCCAAGCTTCTCACCAGCGCAACCCATTTCTAAAGAAACCTTGCGTAGGATAGCGTGCAGCCTGCACGAGCTCCAAGATCGACTCCGAAGCAACGCTAGAATTGAGACACAACATGGAAAAGAACAACGACCAGCAAGGGCACTACCACCACCTCCATTTCCTCGGTTATTCTTTAGACAGCAAGACCCAAACGACGAAGTCGATATAAAATTTCGCATTTTTTCGAGCGAAACTCTTAAAGTCCTTAACCACTACCGCGCGAAAAGATTTAGTTCGAACCTGACAGCTACGCAAAAATCTGGTATGCGACAGGTTCGAGAGCTAATAAAATCAAAAATTATTAGGCTATCAGTTAGTGATAAGGGTGGAGAGTTTGTAGTAATTCCTCGCCAGTTAGATGTCGATATAACAGAAAAACATCTCGAAGACGCGTCTCTTTATCGCGCATCTACTGAAAAGGAATTCAGAAGTCAAAATCGAAAACTGAACAGCGAATGGGTCAAAACGGCAAGCGCAGCAGGTTTAAAACCAGCAGACATTTCGCATCTAAAGATCGAAGTGCCGACATGTCCCGTCCTATACTTACTTATCAAGACCCATAAGTTAATACGC